TGAGCTGTGCTTCTCCTCACGTTGTCTCACTGACTGGTCCTGCTCTGCTGAGCTGGTTTCAGGTGGCAGGAAGGAACGTCATTTTGTTCGTCGTCTTCGGCAGCCTGGAGGAGATGCAGAACAAACCCGTGGTGTTCTTCGTCTTCTACCTGTGGAGCACCATCGAGATCTTCAGGTCTGTCCCTCCTCCCTGGATAACTCCTTGTCGTTGTGGATTTTTCCATCGGCGCCTCTTTCTGTTCCAGGTACCCGTTCTACATGCTCGCCTGCATCGGCACAGACTGGCCCGTGCTGACGTGGCTCAGATACAGCCTGTGGATCCCTCTGTACCCTCTGGGGGTCATAGCTGAAGGTGTGTGAGCTGATGTTGAAGCTAAGCATGGCTGCTGGTGGTTGACTCTGGTGTCGTTGTCTCCAGCTCTTGCCGTCATCCAGTCCCTTCCCATCTTTGACGAGAGCCGTCTGTTCAGCCTGTCGCTCCCGGCCGTGCTGGGACGCTCCATGAGCTTCTCCTACACTCTGCAGCTCTACCTGGTGCTCATGTTTCTGGGTGAGGAACCTTCTGACACCATTTAGCTCCATGGGTTTTACTTCATATGCTCTTGATGTCTGCTCTGTCACGGCTCGAACATATGTGCCGATGTTATCGCCATGTTGCGTGTCGGCACAGACTCTGCTGTTTTCTGTCTCTGCATGGGGTCACACGTGTCCCTGCTGCAGAGTTCAGCTGTGGCCTTCTGTCAAACTCCAACAGGCTCAAGAAAAATGGTTTCCTCAGTGAGCTTTAGGTGGTCTGTGCAAAACTTTTCAACAATTAATATCTTACCTGCTGTAGGTATCAAATATAATATTGTGATATTTCAGAGCATTCTGACGATAACCATAAATGTTGATAGAAAAAAAAAACCAGAAATCATAGTTATTCATTTGACAAAATTAACTTAACATGTTGCTTTGTAGTATTATATAAAATAAAAATAAAAAAACAAGGGGTAATTTTACTGAAATTACTCAGTCTCCAAGTAAAAAAATAAAAATGATCCTTCTGTTATTTAGATTGAAAACGTCTGCACAAAATATAGATCAATAAATCACCACAAAAACTAAAGTGCAGGTGAAGTTTCCCAAAATAACTGAATCAAATGAAGCTTAAGATCTGTTGAGCATAAATGTAACAAAGTATATGTTGTCTTTAAATGAGCTCTAACTTCCAGAACTTGTAACAAGGTGATCATCTGACCCTGAAGCTTGAGGTGTTTCATCTTCCTCTGTTCCTGCAGGAATGATTAATTTCTCTGATGCTCTGTCTTTCATCACCTGACTCTGTTCTTGATCCATGGACTCTGGAACTAAGAGACAGACCTGCGCGTGTTTGGGGGTGCGCAATTCGGTTTGGTCGTTCGGCGCGCTCGGTTCTGTTAAAGGGGCGAGGCGCCCTGACATATTACGTCGTGAAATTAGCATATCATGATATAATTTTTTGCCCGGGCAAGCTTTTTTTACCGGTATTATTGTGAACGATATATGGCCCAGCCCTCGTAGGTAACACTTTGATGATCTGCATAAAATGGTCTGTTTGTCAGACCAAATGCAGCCTAGAGCAAAGTGGGCTGCTGCCACCTTAAAACCACTCCAGTTTCCAACATTTCACAGCACTTCATCTATAAATGTTTATAAATCTTTACGCTGTTTGAAAAACTGATATTGATATGAAATCCTGTGATTGTTTTAAGCCCGTAGGGCAGGGTTGTTGCTGCAGTCAGTTTTGTTGACTGCTTTTTAAATTTAGCTTTTTAATTAAAGCCTTTTACTGCTCTCATTACTGTCCTGCTTCAGCTGGCCAGTCAAGCACTGTGGCATGGGCATCAAACCAGGTTTTGGTGCTTCTGGCAGCATGGGCAGGGGCCAGGTCCTGCTGGAAGATGAAATCTGCATCGCCATACAGATCCTCAGCAGAAGGAATCATGAAGTCCTCTAAAACATTCTGGTAGACTGTTGCGATGACCTTGGATTTAAGAAAGCAGAGTTTACCAACACCTGCACCGGACATTGCACCCCAAATCATGACTGACTGTGGATATTTCACACTGGACCTCAAGCAGTATGGGCTCTGTTCCTCACCCTTTTTCCTCCAAACCCTTGGACCTTGATTTCCAAATTAAAGCCACACTTTACTTTCATTGGAAAAGAGGACAGAGGAACCCAGCAGTTGTAGTCCATCTCCCGGATGTGTCTGAACGTGGTGGTTTTTGAAGCTGTGACTCCCGCCTCATTCCACTCTTTCTGGACCTCTGACAGATTCTGGAATCTTCTCTGTTTGATAATCTGCTGAAGCCCACGGTCATCTCTTTTGCTGGTGCATCTTCTCCTGCCACATTTTGCCCTTCCACTAGACCAGGGGTGTCAAACTCCAGGCCTCGAGGGCTGGAGTCCTGCTCTCTGATGCCACACAGCTGAATCGTATGACTGAATTAGCTTCTCAGTGCAGTCATGTTCTCCAAAGTCCTGCTAGTAACGACCTTGTGTGGCATCAGACACATCTAAAAGTTGCAGGACTTCGGCCCTCGAGGCCTGAAATTTGACACCTGTGCACTAGATGTGCTTGGACACAGCACTCTGTGAACAGCCAGCCTCCTTAGCTATGAACTTGTCTTACCCATCCTATGGAGGGTATCAATGATTGTCTTCTGGCCAGTTATGTCTGCAGTCTTCCCCATATTGAACTGAGACAATTGAACCAAACTGGAGCAATTTAAACCTGTGCAGGTGTTTTGACTTTAGTAGATGATTAGTTTCACACTCAGTTTAAAACATCCATGCCCTGCAACATTTGGCCTGATGTTTCCACATTATTCTAATTTTTTGAAATCCTGTTTGAGGGTTTCATGAGCTGGAAGCCAAAATTATGTAAAAATAAAATACTTGAAATCGTTTAAATTGTGGGCCCTGAATCTATCATCTATTAAAGATTAAATTTTTGAATGGAATTATGGAAGTTAAACAACTTTTCATGATATTCTAATTTTTTGGAAAGAGTCTGTATATGTATATTTTATGCTGCTGAACCTTTAGTTTTCTCTAGGATCAATACAAGTATTGATTAACTGTCCCTCCCCCCCCCCTGCAGGACTCTTCATTAACTTCAGACACCTCTACAAGCTGAGGCAGAGGAGGTACCGCTCCAGGAAAAGGAAACTTCACTGAGCAGCTCTCTTCAACCCCCCCACACTGAAGCTCCTGACCTCGTATGGCCTCTTGAACTTTAACACTGAACTGATGGGACTTGCAGCATCCCCCCCCACCCAGCTGAATCCTGTAAATCTCCTGTTTGCTTGTTGACTCTGTTGAATAAAAACCTTGGAAACATGGTTTGCTCATTTCAGAAGCTTCTTGAACGTTGTTCAACGACTGAATGACTCAAACACAGACGGCAGCAGTAGTTTCTGGTTTTATGTAAATTGGGGGCATGCCATATCACATCAGTCATTGCAACAAAATACAAAACACATGAAATCTCTACGTGTCGTCAAACTTTCCTTATTGTTTGTGCAGAGTCATTCTGAACTTTATGTCGTACCCGTCCACTTGTGGGCGTGACACAAAGTGAGCTGGACCCATGAGTTCACGTTCACACTGCACACCTGATTCACAACCAACGATGAGCAGTAGCTCCTTCAACACAACGGAACCGTCAGTAAAATAAAATACACGATCAAAAAACAAGACTTCTTTATTAGAACAATCAATTTGACCTGTAGAAAATAAATGACATGAGCTTGATGCTGCATCGAAATAATAAATGTAAAAACAGAAACAAGGGTCTGAAATGTGATTTTTAAGCAGTTCGAATGTATTAATCTAAGCTGAATTAATACATTCAATTTAAAATTATCAGATTGTGATGAAAACATTAAAAATTTCAAGTTTCAGCCTGGTCTGTTTTACTGTTAGTTTTTTTCGGACTATAAGCTGCATTAAGCAAAACTAAGCAGATAAGTCAAACTTTATTCAACTCATTCACAATAACCACCTAAAATCAGTTTGAGGTCAGTAAGCACAACCAGAGTTAATGCAGAAGGCTCACTGTCGATTTGAGAAAATTCAAAGATTTTAAGTGTGCCTTATAGTCCAAAAAATACTGTCAACTAAACTGGTATTAAAAAAGATGGGTTTAACCAAACGCAAGCAGATTGATCCTTTAAATATTTAGTACAAATCCAGAGGTCCACATTATTAGTTCTAGAGACACCAGTACAAATCCAGCATGAATAGAATGAGAATCAAACCCACGGATGGAGCGAGGTGTCTGCAGCATGAACGCGACCCCATGCAGCCGTCTCCGTCTCATCCTGCGTCGTTACAGTTTCTCAAAGTCCATAAAAAAACTACTTTACACCTGGGGTCGACGGCTCAAGTATAAAAAAAAAGGCACTGCCATTAGTTATTCTAAATATGACTCCCAGTTGTGAGCATGCAATTGTAAAATATAAATTACATTTTTTGTTACTTTTTTCATTATTAAACAGAACTTTTTTTTTTTTTTTTTTTCAAATATATAAGTAAGCCTGCAGTCAATACAGGACATCGGCTCTTTGATAAAATAAATCTAATAAAAGAAGCACAGTCAGGCGGTTCGTTACAGAGTGAACGCAGCTGCAGTTACAAAAAATAAAAAAGTCATGGCATCCCGTACGGATGAAAACGGATTAAAATAAACAGAAGATAAACAGCATACATGTCTTAACTTAAAGTACAATAAATGTTTTTGGAATATTAAGGCATTATCTACATGTTAATACTGCCACGTGCACAGCCGTTTGGTTAGAAGAGACGTGCAACACAATTTTCAAACAAGTACTGAAAATAATTTTAAAATTTATTAAAAAGCCAGAGCGGAGCTACCTGAAGGCCTGAATACAGAACTTAAACTTTACGGTCACCAACAAACAAACCTGCAGATGAAATCCCGCCGCTCAATGTTTCACTAAAACATGCTGACAATGGAGAATTTATTATTTTAGGTTGGAGATGAAATTTGTATACCTCCGATACAAACGTCTAGATTTCAGATTTAAGTTAGTCAATAATTACACTGCACCTTCTATTTATTGAGAAGCGAGGTCACCAGGAAACCCCGGGCGACCTGCATCCTGATGATGGGGACAGTTTTAGAACGGTTGGATCTTATTCAGGGGGACACATTTTATTTTTTAAATATATTTTAGGGATGCACGATGTTATCGGCAGATATTAGCGATAAATTTAAATATCGGACATCTGCCATTCCATCTACAAACTGGATTCCAAAAAAGTTGGGACACTAAACAAATTGTGAATAAAAACTGAATACAATGATGTGGAGATGGTAAATGTCTATTTTATTTGTAATATAACAGATGACAGATCAAAAGTTTAATCTGAGTAAATGTAACATTTTATAGGAAAAATATGTTGGTTCAAAATTTCACAGTGTCAACAAATCCCAAAAAAGTTGGGACAAGTAGCAATAAGTGGCTAGAAAAGGGAAATTGAGCATATAATGAACAGCTGGAAGACCAATTAACACTAATTAGGTCAATTGACAACATGATAGGGTATAAAAAAGAGCTTCTCAGAGTGTCAGTGTATCTCAGAAGCCAAGATGGTAAGAGGATCACCAATTCCAACATTGTTGCGCAGAAAGATAGTGCAGCAATACCAGAATGGTGTTACCCAGCGTAAAATAGCAAAGACTTTTAAGTTATCATCATCAACCGTGCATAACATCATCAAAAGATTCAGAGAATCTGGAACAATCGCTGTGTGTAAGGGTCAAGGCCATAAAACTCTACTGGATGCTCGTGATCTCCGGGCCCTTAAACGTCACTGCAAGTCAAACAGGAATGCCACTGTCAAGGAAATAACAGAATGGGCTCAGGAATACTTCCAGAAAGCATTGTCAGTGAACACAATCCACTGTGCCCTCCGCTGTTGCCAGCTGAAACTCTACAGTGCAAAGAGGAAGCCATTTCTAAGCAAGCTCCACAAGCTCAGACGTTTGCACTGGACCAGGGATCATTTAAAATGGAGTGTGGCAAAATGGAAGACTGTTCTGTGGTCAGATGAGTCACGATTTGAAGTTCATTATGGAACACTGGGACGCCATGCCATCCGGACCAGAGAGGACAAGGATAGCCCAAGTTGTTATCAACGCTCCGTTCAGAAGCCTGCATCACTGATGGTATGGGGTTGCATGAGCGCTTGTGGCATGGGCAGCTTGCATGTCTGGAAAGGCACCATTAATGCAGAGAACTATGTTCAGGTTCTAGAACAACATATGCTCCCATCTAGACGTCAGCTCTTTCAGGGAAGACCCTGCATTTTTCAACACGATAATGCCAGACCACATTCTGCAGCAATCACAACATCATGGCAACGTAGGAGAAGGATCCAGGTACTGAAATGACCAGCCTGCAGTCCAGATCTTTCACCTATAGAGAACATCTGGCACATCATAAAGAGGAAGGTGCGACAAAGAAGGCCCAAGACGATTGAACAGTTAGAGGCCTGTATTAGACATGAATGGGAGAGCATTCCTATTTCTAAACTTGAGAAACTGGTCTCCTCTGTCCCCAGACGTCTGTTGAGTGTTGTAAGAAGAAGGGGGGATGCCACACAGTGGGAAAAATGGACTTGTCCCAACTTTTTTGGGATTTGTTGAAGCCATGAAATTTGGAAACAACAGATTTTTCCCTTAAAATGATACATTCTCTCAGTTTAAACTTTTGATCTGTGATTTGTGTTCTATTCTGAATAAAATATTAGATGTTGGCACCTCCACATCATTGCATTCAGTTTTTATTCACAATTTGTTTAGTGTCCCAACTTTTTTGGAATCCGGTTTGTAAATAGCTCACCTATTTAATAAAAGACAATAAAAGGTGTAGTATATAT